CAACAGCATGGATGGACCTAGAGGGTATTGTGCTGAGTGAAATAAGTCACACAGAAAGACAAGTGCCAGATGATTTCACTTATATGTGAAATCTAAAAAACAAAATAAATGAACAAACAGAACAGAAACAGACTCAGGTACAGAGAACATTGTGACAGTTGCCAGATGGGAGGGGGTTCGGGGACAGGTGAAAAAGATGAAGGGATTGAGAAGTACAGACTGGTAGTTACAGCACAGTCATGGGGATGTAACACACAGCACAGGGAATATAGTCAATAATATTGTGATAACTATGTATGGAGTCAGATGAGTACTAGATTTATCAGGGTGATCAGTTCATGTTATATAAATGTGTAATCACTGGGATGTATACCTGACACTAATATAATATTGTACATCTTCTCTAATTGAAAAATTATTTTAAGAAATTACTGAACCTTTCTGTGCTTCAGTTTCCTTGTCTGTAAAATGCCCTAGTGTTTACTTCAGCCAGTGGTGTCCAAGCCCTTTGAGTCAGAAACTTACTCAGCCCCTGGGTTTGGGTTGCCAGGTACAATAATGCCAGGCTTTATCACCCGTTAACTGGGGCTTGTATAGAAGCCTGGTTCCCATTCCACGCAACACGTCATAACATGGCCTGCCGCTGCCACCACTGCCTTGGAGGGGGACAGCTCTAGTCTGCAAGAGTGGCTTTGGCTTGTTCTTGAGTGGGGTGGCTGCATTTTGGTACCACATGACACCCCATCTTTGCTGACTGGTCAGGGATAGGAACCTGACCAAGGGCAGATAACCATTGGTCAATTAGTCACCTGTGAGAGGATCTGGTATGAAAAACAGTACCCAAACGGGCAGGATGGGGAGGCCCCATGGCAGGCCTGATTCTTTAGCCTGTAATTACAGCTAAGAAATACAAAAAGATTCCACTGATTGTTAGGAGGACATAGAAAAGATTACTGTTGTGGGTAGAACAATGGCCTCCAAAGATGCCCACACCCTAGTCCCTGGAACCTCTGGATAGGTTATCTTACATAGCAAAAGGGACTCTGAAGCTGGGATTAAGGGACTGGGCCTTGAGACAGGGAGAATAGCCTAATTGCCCAGATAGGCTCAATTTAATCCTATGGGTCCTTTAATCAGAGAGCTCTTCCGAGCTGCAGAGAGCCAGAGGGAGATGTGACAGCTGGCTTTGAAGATGAAGGAGAGGGGCCATGAGCCAAGGAAAGCAGGATGACCTCCAGAAGGTGACAGTCAATGAAATGGATTCACCCCTAGAGCCTCCAGAAAAGGGTTGCAGCCCTGTCAAGACCTTGATTTTAACAGTGAGATGAGTGTCAGACTTCTGTCCCCAGAACTGTAAGATAATACTTTTGTGTTGTTCGGAGCCACTAAGTTTGTGGTCTTTTGTTACGGCGGCAACAGGAGACTAATATAATAATGTAGCACAGGCTTTCAGGAACGCAGCACTAGAGGGAGGACCCTGACCCCAGCCTTGAGAGGGGGGCACCGGAAAAGTACTTCCTTGGGCCTCAGCAGATCTGAACTTTGAGAGTTGCATTTCTTTAAGCAGTTAGGATCTGAAGTCAGTTTTGAAGTTGAAAATCTCTGTGTCAGTTACCCTTAAACTCCTTAAAGAGATACCATCTTGAATGTCTACAAATTCTCTCTCAAATGAGCACAACATGATCAAGTTTTCCTGAAGGAATGAGTTAAGCATCAGATGGAGTAGTTGGCTTGCAGTCAGGAGCCATACTGTACCCCAAACAAGCAAACAAATATAACCTTAACGCTGAAGTCACACTAAAAATATGTAAGATACACGGTGACTGTCCCATAGGAACAAAGGCAGCTGGAGGGAACAGCATATGTCTTCCCCCACCCTGCTTGCTCTGGGGCACAAGGTCACTGACTAGAATGGAAGGTGGATATAGTCATTCTTTTTTAAAAAACATTTTTTATTGATTTTAGAGAGGAAGGGCGAGGGAGAGAAACATCGATGTGAGAGCAAAGCATTGATCAGTTGCCTCCTGCAAGCCCCCTGTTGGGGACTGAGCCCCAGCCTGGGCACGTGCCCTGACCAGGAACTGAATCGGCCGCCCTTCAGTGCACGGGACAATGCACAACTGACACACACTGGCAGACCACTTTATTATTTTTATCTCAATTTTTTTTACACAAACATAAGTGGTTGACTTTGTGGGAATTAAACATGAGTCTGAAGTATCTCCCCAGGATGAGTTGGCTCGCTTTCCCGCTGCCATGAGCGTCCCCAGGCCTGAGACAGCCTGTCTGGGTCTGCTCCTGACAACAGAAGAGCCCACTGAAGTCCTACTGGCCCAAGAATATCCAAGAGCGACTTGATTCTGCCGGATGTGTCTTCTAGGATAAGACTTCTCAAAAGATGGCCAAGCTTCCTGAGGTCAGGTGGGACAGTAAAGGAAAGCTGTGGCTTTCTCACGTTCCATTTTGTTCTGCTTCATTTTTCTGATATAAGGTTAATGATGCAGTTTAAGGAGTGGTATAAACAGTAACCCAGATGGATACGTGGGCAGAGTGATGGGGTTTCTTGGCCAACCTTGCTAGGTGTCCAGACTAAATATTTTATGGATTATATTTCATATTTTAGAGAAATCTAAACTGAGGTTTTCATAGTGCAGGTGAGTTAGACCAAACTAACTTAAAGAGTTTTGGAGGCTGAGATTCTGCAAGGAAATGTATTGAGTCATTTTTACTTGTGATGACAGAAGTCGCTAATCATCAGAGAGATGCAAAGTAAAACCACAATGAGGTATCACCTCACACCTGTCAGAATGGCTCCATCAACAAATCAACAAAGAACAAGTGTTGGCGAGGGTGTGGGGAAAGGGGAACCTCATGCACTGCTGGTGGGAATGCAGACTGGAGCAGCCACTGTGGAAAATAGTATGGAGTTACCCAAAAAATTAAAAATGGAGCTGCCTTATGACCCAGGGATCCCATTTCTGGGAATTTATCCTAAAAATCCCGAAACACTGATTTGAAAGTAAGTATGTACCCCTATGTTCATTGCAGTGTTATTTACAATAGCCAAGATTTGGAGGCCACCCAAGTAGATGAGTAGATAAAAAAGCTGTGGTACATTTACGCAACAGACTACTACTCAGCCATAAAAAGGAAATCGTACCTTCTGCAACGGCATGGATGGAACTGGAGAGCATAATGTTAAGTGATATAAGCCAGTCAGAGAAAGACAAGTACAGTATGATTTCACTTATATGTGGAATCTAACGAACAAAACAAACAAAATAGAAACAGACTCATAGAGAACAGACTGACAGTTGTCAGAGGGGAGGGGGTTTGGGGGCTGGGTGGAAAATGTGTAGGGATTAAGGAAAAAAAACCCCAACAACTCATAGACACAGACAACGGTGTGGTGATGACCCCAGGGAAAGGGGGTGGGGGAGGCAGAAGAGGGTATGGGGGGATAAATGGTGAAGGAAGGAGACTTGACTTGGGGTGGTGAACATACACTATACAGATGGTGTATTATAGAATTATACACCTGAAACCTATATAATTTTACTAACCAATGTCACCCCAATAAATTCAAATAAAAATACTTAAATCAAGGACAGATGACGAAGATCTTCAGGCAATCTGGTTTCAAATTTCTCCCCAAGGGCCTTTCCCATCTGCAGTCCCAGGACTTTCCCATCCAGCTGGAAAGCGCTGGGCACGACTGCTCACAGGCTGCCCTGAGCCTGAGACTGGGCTGCTGCGCAGGCTTCTGTTCCCCAGAGTTCGGTGTGGAATTCCGAGTCAGAACGAGAGTTCACGGCAGCTGGACGTTCCCACCGATTAAGCAAAGTGTACCCAGCAATGACTTTACGGAAGGCTGCAGTCTCATGAGCAAGTAACTGCGCAGTCCGCCTGCAGGGAGCAGCCTGGAGGGTGCTGGGAGCAGCCGCGGCCCACGGCCCGGAGCCGCTAGTTCTCCGTGGCAGCTTAGGGCCACTACCCACAGACCTGTGACCACAGATGCCGCCGCGCATCAGGCCCCGCTGGGAATCTCTTGCCTGATACCTGATTGAACACATCTGAGCCATTACATTGGACACGACTGTCCGGGGACGTGTTCATTCAGAGGCGGCCGGGCCTCCCTGATGGGCCCCAGTGGGACGCTGTGGAGGGATCAGTTTGCAAGTGCAGAGACACTGGCCATCCACCCAATGCCCGTGCGTGCGTGTGTGTCCGTGTGTCTGTCCACGTGAGCTTATGCGTGGGAGCAGACTGAGCAGCGGGACACGGCTGCAGGTAATCAAGTGTTGAACCAACAAGATCTGTTATCTCCTGGGTCCAGTCCCACCACCTGACAGCCCACCGAGAGTGAGTGGTGGCCGGGGTCCTGGTCAGCGCGTTCAGCTCTTGCCAGAGGCTGTGCCGCTCTGAGAAGATGCAGTCCCTGAGGAGAGAGAGAGCAGTGACAGTGGAGCGCCCTGGAAGGAGGGAGAGGTGAAGATTCTAGAGGGGGTGGTTTCCTTTTTCCTCTCGGTGGGCACAGCCGGTTGCCTAAGTGAAGATGGCCTCGGAGTGACACCTGAGCAGCCACACACCACCCGATCAGTCAGCACGCACAACATACTGGCGTCAGAGCACAGCGGCACCCCGGCCGTCGACATTCACATCAACTGGCATAATCCCCCTGCTGGACACAAGCCTTTGTCCCCAGGGCCTCAGTGAGCGCTCCGTCACAGTACATGCACCGAGTGGGGTGCCTGCTGTCCGCAGCGCCCACTTCTGCAGCACCGTGTTTGGGCCCCGAGGATGCTTTTCACCGGAGACTGCAGTCCCAGCACGCAGGCTGCGAAGCCGCCGTGGCCCCAGGCCTCCCTGGGGACCTCTGGTAATGCCAGCTGAGGGCAGCTGCAGTGCGGAATCACAAGGGCATGAAGACACTGTCTGAAAATAGACTGAACGTAAACTGGGCACTTGGAGAAAATATTAACAAATGTCACTGGGGAAAATTCATAATCAGACAAAGAAAATATATTTATTAGAAATATTACAGTCATACATCACACACTTTGTCACTGGTTAACCCAGCAGCGTTGGCACGTTGCGTCCCGAGAGGGCTCGCGCAGCCTGGACGCTTTGCGCAGAAGCAGGCTACAGGGTGTCCACTGCACCCATCCAACTAGCGGAGTTAAAGGAGTGAGCGCTCGGACCTAGCAGCAAGCACTAGCCAGTCAGAGAAGCGGAGCACCAGTGGGCCTGGGCAACTGAGATATTAAACATCCTTCAAAAATGTGGCTGCGTCCTTGGTGGTTCATCTCAACATGGCCTAAGCTTTGGAATGGGGGGCACTGGGCTGGATCCGGCAAAGGGGCTGTACGTACCGGCCTGAGCCCTCCGTCTCCACGCCGAGTGAAATGCCTGCCTCCCTCGGGGACGTTCAGAGAATCGCCAGGTCCCTGCGGGGAAGGAGGGCTGCAGACGTCGTGGCTGCCAGGCGGCTAATTGCCTTGGGAAGTGTACTGTCTGACACCTGCGCCTCTACTTTGGATGATCTCAACAAAGGCCACAGAACCACAGCAGAATGGAGAACAGGCACCAAAGGCCGGCATTTCCGAGGCGAGAGGCAGGGCGGGAGAAGGGTGAGTTTGCGGCTCCTCAGAAAGCTGGCCCGGGGGGCGGGGCGGGGCAGTATCTAGATCAGCTGGAGTTCAAGTCCACGAAACAGCTCCCAAGGCTGTTTCTCTTCTCTTTAGGTCTTTTAAAAACTCCTCACTCTTCTGGGTCTTGCATATCACATGTGTCTTTTATATAAAATACATTAAAAAAAACAGGATCTGCAGAACCACCACATAATGTTAAATGACTGGGCAGTGGCCGACAGAAGATGGGAAGAAACATGGATATTGTAGCCTCTGAAAACCTCAGGACAGAAAACGAAATGATACAACGTGCTGATGCTACCTTGTGTTCTGTTTATCAACTTTCCACATTCACTTTGTGCTCTGGGCTCCCAATTTAAAATGGATCTAAAACCCCCATTCTGTGGCCTGGCCTGGTTGGGACAGCTTCTCCCCAGACCCTGCAGTGCTGGGGGGCCCCACCTGGCACCCCAGATGCCTCAGTCCCCTCCCAGGACCCTGCAGGGCCAGACCTGCCCCACACCACCACCCGTTTCTCTTACAGGACACAGGCTTCCTCCCCATTTATGTCCCCCAGCAGAGAAATGGCAGTAAAGGAGCTGCTTTGAATTATAAAAATAAGTTGCCACATGGTCATCTTTCCGGATGACATTTTTTCCTTCTTTCTAACCTGAAGGGAGCAGGACCCGACATGGAGGGAGGGGAAAGGGCAACACCACTGCCCAGAGCCTGTGCTGCATCGCTGATGGTAATCACTAAAAACAGGGTGCTGATAGTGCTAAACACCCCTCAGACATCCCACGGCCTCAGTGTCTCTCGTGAACAAAGCCTTGTAGTAATTAAACAGCCACTGCCCAAGCCAACCGCAAGGCAAGGCAGAGCCCTGGGGAGATCAAAGCGCATCGGTTACTTCAACAGGAGGAGATGCAGGAGGCAACACAGGAACGGCCCTCACTCGGCGCGTTCATCAGCAAGGTGAGCTGGTTCAGGCTCTGCCTCCAACTTCTACTTGAAAACAAGGGCAGATAGGAAATCGTCGTCAGCAAGTTGCTCAGAGCTCCCTGGGCGGCCCATGAAGGCTGCCCTCGCCTTTCAGGGATCTTGGGAACTCTGGCAATTCGTAGGACACACCTGCTTCCGTTCCAGGATTCTGCTGGATTCAACCGAGGAGGCCAGGCGCGTGTGCTCTTAGCCAGCCCCAGGAGACTAACGCAGAGCCCAAGCAGGGCGGCCCGATGGGCCGAGCTCAGGCCTCTCCCAGGACGGGGCTGGGCCTGCAGCCTCCAGGCCCCGACTGGGAACAGGGGCCCCTATCATTAGAGCTTTACTTTAACCAAGGACAGCGCTGTGTCTTGTGGTAACCATGACCCTTTGCCTGAGGGGCATCTTCCTTAGGAAGTGATGGGCACTGGTGGATTCAACCCAGATTTACTTATGTGAATGGCACCCCATTTGCTATATGATGTACATTTACTTGCCCGCCAAGAACACCAAAGAACCGCCCGGTGGTTACTTGCTCAGAGTACTTCCGAGGTGAATGGGGCCACTCGAGGGGGGCTCTGCTGTCCCTAGGGCGACCGCAGAATAGTTGAGAAACTGCATTTCCCTTTGTTTAATTATAAACAGAGCCATCTCTGCCCATCCTTTGTGTCATACAAACACGAAAGGGCTATTGAAGTACTAATTGCTGAACAAGTCGAAAGTGGAAATACTGTCTAAATTTGCTGTCTGCCTAGTTGCCCAAGAAATACACACCTGTAGCCTGTTTCACTGCACAAATACCCAAAGACGCAGCAGCCACAGGCCATTTCCCAGGAGTGGTTTTCTGCCCATGATGCACATGGCACAAACGTGTGTGGGTGTGGGTGGGAGTGTGAGCAAACAGGGCAGATGGAGGAGGTGAACAGTCACTGTGGCTTCCCTTCCGTGGCACTGTACTGGACCAGCTGAGCACAGGCGGCTGTGTGTGACTATGTCCCAGCACCAGCAGCGCGCGGCCTGGGAGAGCGCACACTCCCACCTGCACAGCCACCTGGGAGAGGGGACACTCCCACCTGCACAGCCACCTGGGAGAGGGGACACTCCCACCTGCACAGCCCCTGGGAGAGCGCACACTCCCACCTGGAGGCCACCCCACAGGTACAGTGAAGCAGACTACCCTGGCTCCTTCTAATCCTCACATGTTCATCTTCCATCCACAGAATCCAAGTGAGTGACGGTGAGATGTAACCAAGTTCTAGGTGTTCAAGTTGTTGCCTAGAACATAAGCACATTTCCCCAGCAGGCAGGGTTCGTGTGTTCCCAGGCTGCTTGAGAGCAAGTGTTTGTCTCTTGCTGGGTTTTTGGAGGCATGGTGGGTAGGAAGGGCACGGTTTTTATTAAGGCCAAAGCCAGGACCTGGTAACAAGGTGACTGTTGTGGAAGTGTGGTCTTTGTTAATCTCCCAGCTCAAGGATGAGGCCACCCTGGGGACCCCTGCGTCTGGAATGAGGGAGGCCCCTGGCATCTAGATTCAAGGTGGGTGCCTGGAGGACCCCAGTTCTGTTTCTCAGTTGTGTGCTGCCCCCCCAGATTGACCCTTCCTTTGAAATCCAGTGGCGAGGCCGTGCACGGGCAGAGCAGAGCCTGTGGAAAGTGACCAGGAGCTTCCAGGACAAACCGCAGGCGCCGTGGCGGTGGCTGCTGGCCTCCGGCTTACGTCTCGAAGTACTTGTATATCTGGGCCACATACTGCATCACGCTCTGCCAGTCGGGTCGGTCTGTGTGCAGCATCTCGCTGAGCTCCTGCGGAAGGAAGGAGGAGGTCAGGGCGTCGCAGACCCTCCCTGCAGAGGGGCTCGAAGCCCGGCCAGGGCCCTGCCAGAAGCCCTGACACGCGAGGCGCAGGGTACAGGTAGCCCCAGGACAGTGGGAAAGGCGATTAGTGGAAAGAAAAGCTTTTTCTTCATACTCACTCAGGAGACAGCTTCCATTTCAGAAAACACTAGATGTGACCGCCCACCCTGCTCATCTATCAACAACATGAGCATTAAAAAAAGTCCTGAAAGGAGGCAGTCACCATAACCCCGCTCCCAGCAGGGTCTCATTCTCTAGGTTCCCTGTGACTCCCACACGTGTCCCCAGTGCTGGACGCGCTGTGTGCTCTGTGCTTTCCACTTAGCGTTTTCCACATCCAGCCTTTTACTGATTTTGCTCCCTGGTTACATTAAGAAATTATCAGCATATCACTGGTCTTGTGAAGGGGTGGGGAAGGAGTTGGTGGAACATTCTACACACATATACCTAGGAAAATTTAAAAAGGACGTTTTCACAGAATACAGGGTACCAAGTCTCCTACCAAAAATGCTTAAGGAAGAAAGAAGGCCGATCTACACACTCTCTTCCAGGAAACAGAAGAGGAAGGAACACTCCCCAATTCACTCTGGGAAGCCAGCATTACCCAAATACCAAAACCAGACAAAGGCATCACAGAAACGACAGATCAATTTCTCACGCTAACATAGACACAAAAGCCCTTAATACATATTAGCAGACTGAATTGTGATCAAGTGGGTTCATCCTAGAAACACAAGGCTGGTTCAACATTCATGAGTCAATCGGCGTGATGCACATGAACAGACTGAACAAGAAAAAAACCCATCACATCAACATGCAGAAAAGCATCACACAAAACAACCATTCATGATTAAAGCTCTAAAAAACAAGGACTAGAAGGGAATTTATTTTACGTAATGTAGGATACACACCAAAACCCATAAGGTGGTATCATACTTAGGGGTGAGAGACTGAAAACTCTTCCCCTAAGATCGGGGAAAGGCCGAGGCTGGGCAGTCCTCTCCCACCTCCCGTTCCACACGGGCCTGGAAGTTCTCACCAGTGAAGCACGGCTAGAAAAAGAAACCAAAGGTATACAGGGTGGAAAGGGAGAAATAAAACTGCCTGTACTTGCTGACGGCATGGCTGTCTATGAAGAAAACTCCAGAGAGTCCACAATAAAATTTCGTGGAATTAATATGCACATTTAGCAATGTCTCAGGAAACAAAGTCAATATTCAAAAGTCAACTGCTTTCTTATATACTCAGCAATGAACAAATGGCAGTGGTGTCTGGAGCTTCGCAGCCACATTCAACCACAGAGCAAGTAGCCAAGCGAGGGAGAAAAAGCCAGCAGGTTAGGCATGGTGAAGCACAGAGAAGCAGCACTCTGGGGCCTTGATTTCAACACTGAGCAGTGCCTGAAACTACAGGATTCCTTTCTGTCATTCTTTTTAAAAAATAACATCTTTATGGTTTATACAATGGTTAGTCTTGAAGTTGAATACATACTAACTCATAAAAATCCGCTATTATATTTTCCATTAAAAAAATTGGTAATTAGAGAAAGGAAGGGAGAGAGAGAGAAATACTGATGTGAGAAACATCGATTGGTTGCCTTCCACATGTGCCTCAAACAGGGATCAAACCTGCAACCTGGGTATGTGTCCTGACGGGGAATAAAACCTGCCACCTTTTGGTGTATGGGATGATGCTCCAACCAACTGAGCCACATTGGCCAGGGCGATTTTCCATTTTTAAAGTTTCTGTTTTATGTTCTAGGTAATTTCCTTACATCCATTTTCCAGTTCAGTAGTTCTCTCTTCTTCTATATCTAACCAGTTTTTCAAGCCAACTGGCATTTTTAATTCTAAACTTTCATTACTATACGTTTTATTTGATTATGTGCCCAAATCTTTGCTTTTTTAATAACATGCTCCTTTCCTTATGATTTCTATTCTTTTGATCTGTTGAGTATGTTTAAACAAAGTCTTTTGTAGTCTCTTTCTTAATGTTTTATTAACTCAAGTTCTGGTAGATGATCTTGTTTGTTGTGTCTGCTGACAAGCTCAAATAGATAAATTTTTTAGTGCTTTTTAATTTTGTCTTGTGAGCGTATTTCCAGCAACCATTGTACTATTAGCCAAGGAGCTTCCTGAACCAGAGACAGTATAAACTAGGGGCTTCTTGCAACACAGATATTACAAATTTGGACTCCAAACCTCATCTGTCTGTTTCCTTTTCTTATAGGAAGTTTCCCCATTTTCTTGGCCACAAAAAATCTGATGGGAAGAACAAACTTCCTTATCACCTCCCTGGACTGGCAGGTGGAATATTTATATCCACCTTCACTAAGAACAGCAGCACTTTGTGAGCTTAGTTTTGTGCAGGAGTCTCAGTACTAGTGCTTCTGTTTATGGGGGCTCAGGGCCTCACCTCTTGTTCCAGTGCGGGTATGAAATAATACCCCTCAGGTGCTCATTATTACAACCCTCTACTACTACCCCAGCCCCATCGCTGGGGGTTGTCTCAGTGTGAGCTCATGCCTCATGGCTTTGATTTTGACTTCTTTTCATTTCTGGCAGCTGGTTATTTCCCATTCTTTCTTCAGAGCTCAGCTATGTATTGATATTTTTAAAATTACATTTCATTCAGATTTCTAGGTGACTTGAACAAGAGGGCTTTAATGATAATTCAGTTCACTGTGTTTTCAGCAATGAAATATATCCATAATAAATCCTAGTTGAAAATGTCTAAATCAGCCCAGGCTGGAGTGGCTCAGCCCATGCACCAAAAGGTCGCCGGTTCGATTTCCAGTCGAGCACATGCCCAGGTTGCAAGTTTGATCCCTGGTTTGGGTGTGTACAAGAAGCAGTCTCGATTGATGTTTCTCTCTCTTTCCTTCCCTCCCTCCCTCTAAAAAAATCAATAAAAACATTTTAAAAAGGACTTATAAAAAAGCACCTCTAAATCAGATGTGGTCTGACCAACTGGATAATTTTATATTAGGGATCATGAGTAACACATCTTCAACAAATGTATTTCTATGTTCTGCAAGAAATTGTTAGTAGATGACATAAAAGTTCTTCCTCATATAATTAGATTAAAGTATAACAAGGATACAAAGTAGGATACTTACCAGGCTGGGTTTAATGCCTACACTTTCGGCTGCTTCAAAGGCCAACAGGAGATTCCTTTTCTAAGGTGAAAAGACAAAGAGACTGCAATTATCAACTAAAAATAGATAGCTTTTGCTAAGAAAGAACACCAACTGACACTCCCATACAGAAAATCTGTAAAAACACTTAAAAATTTAAGTCAGATAGGCAAACAATGGTCTCAGTATGCGAAAAAACTGACAGGTTACAGATGTCACTAAAAATGACTTTACTGACTGACTCCTGAATATCAAGGATAAAATTTTGTTAGTTCTGTTATTTTTCACTTTATCTAGATATATGACATGCACTTCTGTTGCATAGCAACCACTGTTTGTATCAAAAATTACCAAAGTGCACAGTTAAATATTATCAAATGAAAAGCTGCTCCCTCCCCCAATCCCGGGTCTTCGGGGAGCCACTTCTAATTCTCCCTCTGCTTCTCTGGTGACGACCCGCATAGCTCTGTATCCTCACACCACTGCTCCTTGGCTTCTAAAACATTACCTACTCACTCTACCTACTAACTTCCTCCCAGAGTAAGTGAGGACTCAGGGATCACGCACCTCTCTCCTCTTCCTTAGAGCCATAGGGCTACTTTTAGTTCTTTTATTAGTTATGTTTGTGACTTTAAATAATATCCTTGCATCTCCATTTCTTGTTCCTCTATACAATAAGGAGGAAGTTCCCTTTATCTTTCCTCTACCTTATCAAGTTTTACTTTTAAGTTATTAAAACTTTTAACACTCACTTCCTTTTCTACAATCATGTTTTAGTCTTCTGTCCTCTCTTAATTGGATAATTCTGAAACCTAAAAACAACAAACAGCATTTACAAAGGAGTGCGCTCCCGCCTCATGTCCCTCCCCACAGCTGGTCGTCACGCTGTCACTAAAAACATTTCTTCAGAAGGACTCTCCTCTGTGTGCCTCGACTGCATCACTGTTCTACAAAGCTCCTCAGTCCTGGAGCCCCCAGGACCTCATGTCAATTTCTACAAAACACCCCTGTTCTGCCAGAGTTTATTCCTGGGTTTCCTTCTTAGACCAGGACGTGGGAGACACATTTTCTGGAAGCACCAACATATGAAAATTTCTCTTTTGTACCATCACACTTGGTCAATGACTTTAGGTGGAAAATAATGTTCCCTAGATTTTAAAGGTATTGCTCCGTAATCATTTATCCCTAATTGGTAGCTTCTTTGTGAGATTCTTTCTTGTTGCTCTCTGATGTTTCTCCATCTGGATACATTTAAGAATCACTGGGTCATACCTCCTCCTCTCCATAATTTATTTGAAAGTCATTAGGATCATATTAAAATTTAATTAAGTAGTAAACTAAGTATAATGGGGAGACAAGTGTTTCTGTACATATTCATGTTTTATGTTCCTCGGTAGAATTTTGTGATTTTATCCATAATTTTATCCATTTTTCCATTGCCCACGGCTTCCACCCTGTCCTTGCCTGCACATCTCATGCCTGAAGCAAAGCCCCTGCTCCAGGCACCAGCTGAGCCACGGCTTTGCACGCTTTCTTCCAGTCTGTGGTCGAGGTCCTGCAAAGCGGTTCATCTGTAGTCATCTTGCCCAAGCCGCCAGCCCTTTCTCCAGATTAAGGGAAATCAGTGGGCATGAACTGGATACCTCACGTTTCCATAACACTACTCTCTGTTCTGTTGAGAGAGGAGCTGCAAACTGGTTGCGGGCTTCCTTTAATTTAGCCCAAACTATCGACAGCAATCTCCCATTTGGGTGCTAAGGAGGCCTCTTATTTCTAAAAGTCATTTTGGTTAGTTTTGGGGAGGAGAGATCTTGTAAGCCAGTTTTTGGGCTACCATTATTTCAAAAGTCAATACGCAAATATTTTTTATGACTTTCGATATGTAACGCAAAAGTGCTTTCTAAAACGTTATACCAATTTCAACTCCAGCAATAATGTGTGTGTCCATTTTTTCATACACTTACCTGCACAGAACATTATGATTTTCAGAAGTCCCTGCCAAATGTGACAGGCGAAAAGTAGTATTTTACTGTTTTAATTTGCACTCTTTGGTTCCTAGTAAGGTCTAAGGAAAGGCATTTCTAAACCTGAGGTTTTGTACAGAATTCCCCCGAGGCCCTTCTAGCCTGACTCTAAGGAAACTGCTGGTGTTTCCTAAGCAGATACCCAACAAAGAAGAAATGGTTCATGGCGAAAACCTGTCTCGAAAGACTGTGAAACAGTGTACAGTGTGACCTGGAACATTGGAGAGCTGGGTCTCGGGACAAAAATGAGTTTGATTCATTTTGGCGGCAGCAGGATGACCATGACCAGATGGTTGCCCCAGTTCTCTTTCGTCAGAACACTACCCATCGGGAGGCCGACGGAGACGCGGAGGGGCGCCTGGGGTGCGTGCGGGGCAGAAGCGGGAGGGCCCCGCGCGCCACACCTGCGCTGTGCCTGGGCCGGGCCAGGGTGGGAAGGAACTGCTTCAGTGTATCCTGCATGGGGACAGGCGCAGGTCAGGACCTTGCAGACCTAGGACAGTGAATCCACCTGAAACTGACGGGAGGAAGATCCCAAGTCCAGAATTCCTCCTCTCAGTATTTCATCCCAGACACCGACATGAACACCCTTCACTCCCCCACCTGAGCACGTCCAGTGTAAGCGAAGTTTCATCAGATGACCGACGAGCGTGCTTTACTGGAAAACGCCCGTACCTTCCACTGACCACAATTCACACCCTGTGACTCTCTCTCTTCAGTGTCTTAGAAGACGTCTTGTTAGTTTTATCAGAAACGCCCTATTTAATACTGATTGCAAACTCATTTGGTTTAATTATGTCCATCTAGGTAGGAACAGCTCCTGATTAATGAACTTTCTGGGTATCTGGCTGTATCAGACACTTCTTAGATTTTGATTTTAGTAGGTTTTACAAAGACAGGCCTCCCCTGATGCCCTTTTTGATGTGTTGGTACACCAACCCCCATGCAGGTAGGGGCTGGACTTCACTCATCCTAAAGATGTCAAAGGGGTACATTTCATTCAAATTACCTTGTTCCCTTTGAAACCCAACTTCAAATATGCCACTCTGAGGAAAAGCTTCCCCGCTTTTGTCCCCCACTTCTTGACCAAGGTTACCCTGATTCCGACCCTCATGCGTGCTCGGTGTTACACTGTGTTGGCGGGATTTGCCTGTGTTGACACATCATTTTGAAAACCATCAATAACTTTAATACGTGAGTTCCTCTCAGCAACCTGACTGTAAGCATCCCTCAAGCACGCTCGTCACACACCAGGCAGTGGGGAAAATCACTCCACCCAGCTGTACCTACACGGGACATTCAGGGAGCAGGAAATCGCTGTTCCTTCGGGGAGTGGTGGGCAGGTGGCACCGGCAAAGAGCCCTCTGCTCAAGGATGCCCGTGCTGCTCTCTGACAAGGACGCTGTGAACCACATGGACTCTCACGCGAAAATCCCAGCTGCCTGGACCCGACTCCTTCATCTCCTCACAGACCACAGTCTTCCACAACCTGACCCGTGAGCCTCCACGACAGTATTGCAGACTGTGGAGAATTCCAATGCACAGGCAGAAAGGAGGGGCCCCCGCACCGCAGGACAATGGGACGCGAGCGAACGGAGGGGTCTGCCTGTTCTAGTGACCGTCCCGGGTCTGCAGCGGGCACCGGGCAGCTCGCTGGGCCTGCGGAGCCAGACGGTACAGGGCCAGTCACCAGGGAGCACGCTCGTGAGCTCAGAGTGAAAGCAAACCTTCAGGCTCGTTCATTTCCAACAGATCCCCACCGATTCGAGGACAAAGCGCCTAGGTACGTTTGCTCCACCACAGACACTTCACTTCAGGAAGACACCTATAGGCAGTGTGCGTGAGTGCACACACCTCCACTCCCTCCAGTCTCAGGAAGCTCTTCTGTGCATTTTGGATTGTTCATGCCCATTATTTACTCAATTATCTCATAATGTCACATGGAAAAGGCACAGACTGAAAAATGAGAGGCAGGAAGGGAATGGACACCAAGGCCGCTGGGGACGTGGGCTCTGCCGGTGAGGGCCCACGGCGAGGCTGCGTGGACCAGGGCCACCGCACTCCCTGCTGGCCTCGCCTCCTGCTGCTCCCGCCTGTCTCCCTTTGCCGGCTCATCTCCTACCCAGATAAGCACTGCAATCTTCAAGGCCGGCTCCTCGCTCTTTTCCTTATGCTCTGTGATACTGTGATTTAGAATAAGAAATATTATTGGGTTTTCGCCTACTGTTCCTGGCATAGGCCCCTGAAACCCTGGTAGTTTTGTGTGTTTTTTTTAATATATCTTTATTGATTTCAGACAGAGGAAGGGAGAGGGAGAGAGAGAGAGAAACATCAATGATGAGAAAGTCATTGATGGGCTGCAGCCCACAGCCGGGGCATGTGCCCTGATGGGGAATTGAACCCTGATCGCCTGGATCCTAGGTCGATGCTCAACCTCTGAACCATGCCCAACTGGGCACCCTGGTAATTTTTAAAAAAAATGTTTTTATTGATTTTTAGAGAGAAAGGAAGGGAGGAGAGAAACATCAATGAGAAATATCATCGATTGACTGCCTCCTGCACACCCCCAACTAGGGATCGAGCCAATAACCCAGCATGTGCTCGGACCAGGATTTGAACCGCGACCTCTTGGATCCTAGGTTGATGCTTAACCGCTGAGCCACACTGGCTGGGCACTTGTAATTTCTTATATTAGAGCCCTAGGGGCATCATCTGTTATAATATCTGGTCTGTGTCTCTGGTTCCAGAAGTGGTTTCAGGACAGTAAAGGTGAAACGGTGCCTTTTGGGAAGCCCTCAGGTAGCTGCAGGATAGGGCTGGCTGCCAGGGGACCAACTGTGTGATTCGAGGGCTGGAACACTCATTCTCATGGCTTTAAATGCCACTTATATCTGTCCTGGCCGATACAGTAGCCATGTGGCTATTTAAATTAATAGTAGTAAAAATTAAAAATTTTGGTCCCACTGGCCACATTCCATGAGCTAACAGTCCACATGGCCAGTGGCTATCACCTGGACAGCGCAGACAGGGAGCATTCCATCATTTCACAGAGCTCAAGCAGCGCTGGCCCAGCCACTGACGGCTCCCTGAACTTCCCTCTCCGAGCCCTATGAACGCCCACTTTGCTATGCAGTTGCCACCTGTACGCTTCATGGACATCTCACCATGATGTGGACAGAACTTCTTTGTTGTTTTCCAAATGTTTCGCAGTCCCGTTCAACCTGCTTCCCAGATTACAACAAAGAGCCACATGTACAAGTGCTTGAAATCCTAACACTCGGTGATGGTTCGTTATATGTGTCAACTTGGCTGGGCCATGGCATCCTGATATTTGGTCAAACATTATTCTAGATGTTTCTGTGAACGTATTTTAAAAACGAGATTATGTTAAGTCAGTAGACTTCGGGTAGAGCAAATTATCCTCCATAATGTGGGTGGCCTCCTCCAACCAAAATACGGCCTTAATAAAAACTAGAATCTCTCTCTGAGAAGAGCGATTCCAGAAGCAGACTGCCTGTCTCGAATGCAACCTGTCCTGCAGATTGGGAGTTTGTCAGTCTCCACAACTGTGTGAGCCAATGCCTAAATAAATCTTTCTCTCCCTCTCCATCCCACTGGTTCATTTCCCTGGAGAACCCTAAACACTCCTTAAAAGATTAAAGTACTTTGTACAGATACTCTCACCATCAGGGCCATAGCATTCTCTGGGCTTTATATCTTAGCGTGGGATAATCAAAACAGAACTTTAAAGATGTCTTTTCCTCTCCATCTCAGAAGATGGTCCTGCCAAGCCGGACTCCTGGAGTTGTCGCTGGCTCTTTCATCTTCCCCTACAACCATCCGGTCACTAGGTCCAGTTGACTGCACATCTAAGACATATTTTGAATATCTTCCCGTCTACATTGCTGCTACCCCGGCTAATTGGTGAAGTTGGAGAAACTGAGTCCGCACAGCCTCCTCTCCCACCTTGCGGATCCTGCTTCATTCCTTTCCTTTCCAACTCGCTGTGTTTCACGTCACAGCCAGAGAGCTCTTGAAAAACAGGACTAGTGCCTCTCCACTGTTTAGACTCCTTCAATGACTTCCCACTGTGCTTGGAACAAAATGCAAACTTCTAACCAGTCATCCCTGGAAGCTCTGCAGGGTCTGGCGGGTCTGGCGGCATCCTCACGGCCAGCTCCCCCCTCCCCTGCACTCCAGCTGGCCGCTCCGCCCGGGGGCCTGGACGCACCCGGGTGCCTCCTCGCTGCAGCTGCTCCCCAGGCCTGGAAAGCTCCCTCTGCTCTGTGCACTGCTGGCTCCTTCTGGTTCTTTCTTCAGACCTCAGCCTAACTAGTGTGTCCTCAGAAAGGCCTTCCTAATCTAAATTATATCCCCCATTGCTCACTCACAGCACTGTGCTTCTCTGACGGCCCTTCCACAGTGTATAACGATTTATTATGTTACTTATAGGTTTACTCACTGGCTGACCATCTACCTCATAAGGGCAAAGAACATGCCTGTGTTGCTCCCTGTGGTTTTTGTTATTGTGCACGGTGCCTGGTAAGAAATGCATGTTGAATGAGTGCAGAGCCCGGCACAGAATTTCCCGAGGTGCGCTCTGCAATACAATTCTGGAGGATGCTCTGGGTCAGCGGCAGCAATTGGAGCCTGTGGTTGCATCTGGCCTGCAGCCTTTTTTTATAAATAAAGTTTTATTGCAATACAGCATGCCCACATTGTCCATGACCACTTGGGTGCTCCAATGGTAGAGTTGAGCTGGGACAGAGACCCACAGAGTCTAACATTTGGCCCTGAATAGGACAAGTTTTGCCAGCTTGTTACAGGTAATTAGAAGAAAAACCTCTGTGATCTGACATATGTCGGGCTAAACAGAGTCTCACAGGTTTCTTTAATGAAGACTTGAAGTCTTTACTATGTTAATGAGCACTGTGAATATCTAAAAATGTGTATAATGCTCCGTTTCCCAAGTTTATTTGAGCAGGAAACTCTTTTTGCTGATGTTTGTTGGTCCTTTGGAAAAGACTTTGAAAAAAGGTGACCAAGGTCTGCACACTGGAGGTGAGCAGGACTTTCTCTGGAAAATGGGTGATAGGAACTGTCAGTGGCCACAGTAAACTGGTCTTCGTTGCATTTTCCAGGTAAAGAGGGTGTAAGAGGCATGTGCCGAGGGTAGGGTCCTGTAGAGCAGCCACGCGCTCAGTAGTCCGGGCCGGCGCCGTCCTAGTTTCCACTCCAAGTCTATAACCCCACCCCTGCGTGTCCTAGAGAATAACCGGGGTGACCGGTCACTTACCTTCTCCTGACTGCCCAGTTCCCGGTACGGGATGTGAGCCGGCAGGTAGGTGTGGAGCAGAGCGCAGAAGGCCAAGCCGTCGCTCCAGCTGCTGCTGAAGTTGGTGATGTCGATGTTCTGTGGGGAGACAGCATCGGTCACTGAATGGCAGTCACAGAACAGGAGTGAGGCTGCAGGAGGCACCACCCTGGGCCGCCCAAATCTGTTCTTAGAACAGCATGAAAAAAGGCCCAGAGCTCGGCACACTGAGGAATTTCTGTCTGCCTCTGGTACAGGAAAGGCTGAAACAGCTTATCCTCAAATTATCCCACCGATGACTCTGTACATCCCAGCACTGCCCAGCCTTCCGTGGCCAAGGAAGCGACTCACCCTCATCACCAGCATGCGCAGCCCCACTAACATGCTGGACCACGACAGAGCAGAAGGTCCCGAACACCCGCAGGGCGGGTCTCGTGGCTGCTCCTCTACCACGCCCGCCCTTCTCCCTCCAGCGAGACGGGCTCCAGCGTGAGAAGACCCTTTGCGCTCAGCGGTCACCTACTAGCTTGCCGAACACCGGGGTCGTGAGGCCTCACGGGGGAGAAGGGCGCTCCCCTGGGGACAGGCAGGGACCCTGGCAGCTACTTGGTAAATAATGAGGGAAGGAAGGGGACTTGACCCACAACCCAGCTGATACGCAGCCCTGGAGATGACGGCTTCTGCCTGTGCCTGGGTTCCTGGTGCCAGCGCACCTCCGCCTCGTAGATCCTCACACCTGTCACCACCTGCTCCTCTCCCTGACTGCTTATCCTACGGGGAGTTTCTCCCCTGGCTCACAGAGCTCGCCCGCGCTGAAACGTCAGGCTCCGAAGCCCACGAACTCTTTCCTGCGTATGCTGACTGATGTGGCTGCTTGAGTGTCCTGGCAGGAGAGGGCTGTGCAGGAGCTGCAGGAGGACGCCCAGGTGGCTCTGACCAGAGGACGTGGGGAAGTGTGGGGCTCCTCGCCCTCCTTCCCCCCCC